TACCCAAAGTCCAGAGTTTACTTTAGGGCTCACTTTTGTTATTGCACATCCTGTGAGTCTGGACAAATGTATAAGTGACACGTGTAAATAGTGTCCTGGAATCCTTGGTGCTCTGTATACTCACACTTCTTTCCTTACAGGCCCCTGGCAACCACTGATTTAAAAACAAAGCAAAACAAATTTTTCCTTATTTGAAAGAGTGACAGAGGGAGAGATACAGAGAAAAAGGGAGAGATACTCAGAAAAAAAGATCTTTCATCTATTGGTTTCCTCCTGCAAATGGCTGCAATAGCCAGATGTGAGCCAAATCAAAACCAGGAACCAGAAACTCCATCTGGATCTTCCACTTGGTTGGCAGGAACCCAGGCATTGCAACCATTTGCCACCTTCCCAGGCACACTACCAGGGTGCTGGATCAGAAGCTGAAGACCTGGGATTCAGACATGGAATGCTGGCCTCCCAGGCACCATGTCACATGGCCAGCTTAAACCACTGATATTTCCATAGTTTTGTCTCTTCCAGAATATTGTACTTACATTTATTTTTATTGGAAAGTCAGATTTACAGAGAGAAGGAGAGACAGAAAGATCCTCTGGCCACTGGTTTACTCCCCAAGTGGCTGCAGTGGCTATAATTGAGGCGATCCGAAGCCAGTAGCCAGAAGTTTCTTCCGGGTCTCCCATGTAGGTGCAGGGTCCCAAGGCTTTGGGCCAGCCTCGACTACTTTCCCAGGCCACAAGCAGGGAGCTGGATGGAAAGTGGAGCATCCAGGATATGAACTAATGCTCATATGGGATCCCAGCATGCAAGGCATAGACTTTAGTTAGTAGGCTGCCATGCCGGGCCCAATCTTTAAAAAAATATTGATTTTATTTATCTTAAAGGAAGAGTTTTAGAGATAGGAGTAGAGACAGACTCTTCTATCTGCTGGCTCACTTCCTAAATTGCCTCAATGGCTGAAGCTGTGCCAGGCTGAAGCCAGGATCCCAGACCTTTATTCACATCTCCTACACTGGTGCAGAGGTCCAAGCACTTGGGCCACCATCCTCTGCTCATTTCCCAGCTGCATCAGCAGGGAGTTGAATCGGAAGTGGAGCAGCCTGCACTCAAACTGGTGCCCATGTAGGATGAGATGCTGGCATTGCAATGGGATCTTAATGTGCTATAACTCTTATGCCCCCACTTTTATTTTTATATTCTATATTTTTTCAGTGACCATATAACTTTTATTTAAAGATACACTTATTTGAAAGCAGTTATATAGAGAGAGGAAGGGACAGAAAAAGAGTTCTGTCTATGCCTCCCAATCATGTCAATGAAAGGCATTGTTGGGGCTGGCACAATAGCCTAGTAGCTCAAGTCCTCACCTTGCGTATGCCAAGATCCCATATAGGCATCGTTTTGTGTCCCAGTGGCCCTGCTTCCCATCCAGCTTTCCACTTGTAGCCTGAGAAGCCAGTCTAGGATGGCCCAAAGCCTTAGGATCCTGCACCTGCGTGGGAGACCCAAAAGAAGCTCCAGGCTCCTGGCTTCGGATTAACGCAGCTCTGACCATTGTGGCCACTTGGGGAGTGAATCAGCGTATAGAAAATCTTCCTCTCTGTCTCTCCTCCTCTCTGTCTTCCTAATAAAAATAAATAAGTGAATCTGTTTTAAAATTTTATTTTATTTTTGTAAAAGATTTTATTTGTTTGTTTATTTTTGCTGTGGAGTTTGGTAAATTTTATTAAGCTTAGGCCACCAGTAGGGAAGTGGGGTGGGAACAGGGCAGGCAGGGCCTCCAGGGCAGGAGCGACACAATGAGTGGTCCTCACTGGACACCCAGTCTTGTTGCGGTTCATTGCAGCCTCCACCTTCTCCACCAGCCCTGCATGTCTTCCTCCAGGGCCTTGAAACAACTCTTTGAGATGGGCTTGGAAAGTGTCAGCCTGCAGGTGCATCTGTTCCGCCTGTCCTTCCACCTTGACCCACCCCTCCCCCAACTGGACGTGCTCTCTCAGGACTGGCTGAGAGACTGGCCCCAGGGGGCCTTGTTCCACCAGTGGCCTAAGGTCCTTTTGAAAGATGCGGATGCCATGCTCGGCACCCTCCCTGGTCCCGGTGCCCTACACAGCCAGACCCTTCTGCAGGTACTGAGAATCACGTAAGCAACCGCTTGTGCAGGTGTGATTAGCTCCTCAGTGCTCTGGCCCAGTGTGGTTTGTACCTCACTGCGGTACTGAGCCAGGCACTGCCTATTATTTTTTAATTTATTTGTAAGGCAGAGCGAGGGCCCAGTGTGTTAATCTAGTGACTAAAGTCCTTGTCTTGCATGAGCCAGGATCCCATATAGGTGCCAGTTCATATCCTGGCTGTTCCACTTTCTTTCCAGCCCAAAGCCTTGGGATCCTGCACTTGCATGGGAGACCTGGAAGAAGCCCCTGATTTTGGATCAGTTCAGCTTTGGCTATTGTCACTTGGAGAGTGAACCATCTCTTCTGTAAAACTGCCTTTCCAATAAAAATAAATAAATCTTAAAAGAGAAAAAAGGCAGATCGAGTGAACCAATGCCCTTTCCTGTGTTTCACCCCTGAGATTCCTGTACCTATGTGAGCTGGGCGGGGCTGAAGGTAGGAGCCAGGAACTCAAATGACACCTTACATGTGGGTGACAGGAACCTAGCTATTGGAACTGTCACCACTGCCTCCCAGGACGTGTGCTAGCAGGAAGCTGCAGTCTGGAGCCAGAGAGGCAGGTTGTCAAGCCGGGGCACTCTGATCGCGGATGTGGGCATCTTCATCACTAAGGACCAACACCCTGCTGTATTGCCATGACTCACATACCACCCAAGTCATCCACTTACAGGTCCAATTCAACTTCTGTATCTTCACAAAAAGCTTATGCACAGAATCTCATTTTAGAATATTTTATACTCCCCAAATAATCTCATATTTACACTGTCTCTCATCCCATTCCCACTAGCACATCCAGCCCTCAGGAACCATGAACCTACTTTTTGCCGCTGTAGATTTCCCTCTTCTGGATGGTTCATATGTATGATATGAGTATATATATATATATACAAATAATATGAGTCATAACAAGCCTTTTGTAATTGCCTTCTTTCACTGATTTATTTTCAAGGTTAATTTGTGTTGTAATACACATCAGTACCTTTTTATTGTAAAGTAACTCATTCATCAGTTGATGGACACTCAGGCTGTGTTCCCTTTATGGCTATGATGAATTATGTTGCTGTGAGCACTCCTATCAAAGGTTTTTTTTTTAAAGATTTATTTTTGTTGGAAAATCAGATATACAGAGAGGAGGAGAGAGACAGATAGGAAGATCTTCTATCCGCTGATTCACTCCCCAAGTGACTGCAATGGACAGAGTTGTGCTGATCCAAAGCCAGGAGCCAGGAGTCTCTTCCAGGTCTCCTATGTGGGTGCAGGGTTCCAAGGCTTTGGGCCACTTTCAACTGCTTTCCCAGGCCTCAAGCAGGGAGCTGAAAGGGAAACAGGGCGGCCAGGATTAGAACTGGTACACAGGGCCCAGCGTGGTAGCCTGGCAGCTAAAGTCCTCGCCTTGCACAGGCCGGGATCCCATATGGATGGTGGTTCTAATCCTGGCAGCTCCACTTCCCATCCAGTTCCCTGCCTGTGGCCTGGGAAAGCAGTCGAGGATGGCCCACAGCCTTGGGACCCTGCACCCGTGTGGGAGACCTGGAAGAGGCTCCTGGCTTCTGGCTTCAGATCGGCACAGCACCAGCTGTTGTGGTCACTTGGGGAATGAATCATTGGACAGAAGATCTTACTCTGTTTCTCCTCTTTGTATATCCAACCTTGTAATAAAAAAAAAAAAAAGAACTGGTGCCCATATAAGATCCCGGAGTGTTCAAGATGAGGACTTTAGCCATTAGCCTACCTCACCTTGCCCATATGAAAGGTTTTGTGTTGCCTTTTGCTTTCATTTTTCTTGGAAATAGACCGAGGAGTGGAATCGCTGAGTCACTTGATAAGTGTATTTAACGTACAAGGCTTTCTAAGTGTGTTTCATGTCAGGTGCACTATTTTACATGGGCACCAACAATGCAGAACTTTTAAAATTAAATGTGGATGCTCTTTTTATTTTGTAATTAAAAAAATTTTAAGTTAATTTTATTTCAAAAGTAGAGAGAAGGAAAGATGGGAGAGTAGGGGAGGAGAGAGAGAGAAAGAGAATCTTCCATCTGCTGGTTCATTGTCCAAATGAACAAAAGTCAGGGTAGGGCCAGGCGAAGCTAGGTGCCTGGTACTCATTTTGGGCCTCACACTACATGACAAGGACCCAAGTTCTTAAGCCACCATCTGCTGCCTCCCAGAATGCACACTGGCTTAAAGATGGAGTTGGAAACCAAGGCATGACCTAAATCCAGAACTTCAGTGCGGCATTAGGGCATCTAGGGTCGCAACTTAATTGATACCTGCAATATTCACCCCCCCCCAATATGTACTTTTTTTTTTTTAAGATATATTTTTATGAGAAAGATTTACAAAGAGGACAAACAGAAAGATCTTCCATCCACTGGTTCACTCCCAAGTGGCTATAATGGCCAGAGTTAAGCCAATCTGTAGCCAGGAGCCTCTTCTGGGTCTCTCACATGGGTGCAGGGTCCCAAGGCTTTGGGCTATTCTCAACTGCTTTTCCAGGCCACAATCAGGGAGCTGGATGGAAAGTAGAGCAGCTAAGATATGAATCGGCACCCATATGGGATGCCGGTGCATCCAAGGCAAGGACTTCAGCCACTAGGATATCACGCCAGGCCCCTGTAGTGTTATTCTTTTGAAAGCAGTGTTTCAGGTAGAGCATCAGAGGCATTTGGTAAATGGTGGTTGTGTGGAAAATTGAAGGAGTGTTCTGAGTAAGATGAGAGAGAAGACTGAATGTGGCAAGTAGGAGTTGGGGGTGGAAGAACTAGAGCTGCCTTTCAGCAATGGCTCCTCAGGCCCCTCTGAGCCCTGTTTGTGATTCCCACATAGGACCATCCAGCCGCTTCTGAGATTGAGGTCGACCTGGAGGCTCTGATAGAACTGTCCACAGAGGAACAGAAGACGCAGCTGGAGGTGGGTGGGCCAGGGGTGGCAGATGGGCTCCCAGGAATTCCAGGGCAACTGTGGAACTTCCTCCATGGTTGTAGTGGGAAGAACCAGGTCAGAGGGTGGAACCCTTGGGCAACTGGGCGTGGCAGGGAGGGTTGGCATCAGGTCACCGGAAAGTGCTGTGTTTCTGAGATTCACTTTCTGTTCTTTCCTTCCTTAGGCCATTCTCCAGAACTGCCCCCGTGCCACAGAGGTAAGGGATGTGCACGGTGGTAGCTCATGGGTTGGGCAAAGCAAGGAGGCTTGGCCTGAGCCTTCCTTTCCCTGCTTTGAGGACCCAAGGGAGGGCTGGATGGCACTTGGGACCCTGTGCTTGCCCTTACTCTGGTTTCTTCTTCAGTCTTTCATTTCAGAGCTGCTCAGCCAACTCAAGAAATTCCGGAGGCTCAGCCGGCCTCAGAAGTAATCCAGGAGAGACTGATGGTTAGCAGGCTCGGCACTGCCAGCTCCCCATGGGCCTCTGTATCTTGGTGGAAGGACACAGCAGCTCCCAGGACTTGGACCAGGAATGGCAAGGCGGAGGAGGGATGTTTGTATGGCTCTCCTTATGGACACACACAGCTTGCTCCTCCGGGTTGGCCCTGGGTGCCAGTCAGGGCTGTATCCCGAGGCTTTCCTTGGTCACCAAATGGATAAAACTTAGGAGAACCAGTCAAGTGCAGTGTGGAGCATATCTGTGCAGAGGAACGAGGGAGGGAGAGGGTACTATGATACACTGGAATGTCATCCTCCAAAATCACAGGTATGCCCGTACACTGCAGCCAGCCAGCCCATCAGGTCACTCAAAGGTGACAGCCACAGCTCTGCTCCTGAGACATCACAATCTTGCAAGGCTCAGAAGCTATGCCAAGAGCTAAAACACACAGCATACTGGCATGACCAACAAAAGGGCCCAAACAGCAAGGACTACCATCAAATTGCAGAAGAGAATAGGAAAAAAACCTAACTGAATTGGAGCTTTAGAGAAGGTTAACCCTTCTTCTTCTTTTTTAAATAAGATTTTATTTTATTTGCCAAGTCAGATAGAGAGGAGGAGAGACAGACAGAAAAATCTTCTGTCCACTGATTTACTCTCCAAGCGGCCGCAACAGCTGGAATTGAGCCGTTCCGAAGCGAGGAGCCCAGAACCTGGAGCCTCTTCCAGATCTCTCATATGGGTACAGGGTCCCAAGCCCCAGGTCCATTCTCTATTGCTTTCCTAGGCCACAAGCAGGGAGCTGGATGGGAAGAGCGGCCACCAGGACACGGACCAGCTCTCATATGGGATCCCAGCACATGCAAGGCGAGGACTTTAGCCACTAGGCTACTGCGCTGTGTCCTAACCCTTCTTTTTAAGTTTTTATTGACTTTCACTTTATTTGAAAGTCAGATAAAGGTCTTCTAGCTTACTAGTTCTAGATAAATTAGTTCACTCTCCAAGTGTCTCTAATAGCCAGCACTGGGCCAGGATAGACAGGAGCCCAGAATTCCATCTGGGTCTCCCAGGTGGGTGGCAGGGACTCAAGTGTTTGAGCTGTCACCTGCTGCCTCCCGGGGTGCGCATTGGCAGGAACCTGGATTGGAACAATGCACTCTGATATGGGATATAGGTAGCATCCAAGCAGCATCATAACACTGCCAAAAGCCCACCCTGGGACCTTGTGCTCACAGATGGTGATGCATGAAGTCAGAGTGAGGGGTACAGACTGAGCTCAGGGGTCAGGTGAAGGGGAATTGTTGGAAGGCTGACACGGGATCCAGAGAGCAGGTAAGCTGGGATGAAACTTCCACAAGACAGGAAGTTGGGAGGCAGGGTGTGTGTGTGCACTGTTTGAGCAGTGGAGAAGCTGAGAAGTCCCAGCTGGGGTGGCCTGGGAGCTAAGCTGGACTGCCCAGAGCCTGAAACATGGCTGAGGAGTGACTCACACACTTACGGTGTAAAAGCTCACCAAGATGCCTGGGCCTGTGCCTGCCTGGAGAAGCTAACAGGATAGCTCCTGCGTCCCACAGGACTGCATTCACACCCCACCCCACCCCACTCATGCTGCCTCTTTCTGGGCCCAGGCACACTGAGCCTAAAGTGTCTGGAGAGAAGAGACACTGGGTACACTGAATCGGCACAATTTATTAGAGCCACTTAATGCTAGTGGCTGGGCCTGGACCCTGGAGCCAGCTGACAGGGCTCACCCTTAGATCTGATCTTTCCCATGTCTTTCACTTCTTCCTTCCTTAGGGCTCCTTCAGTCATTATCTCCAGTGCAGAGCTTGCCTTCTTCCAGCGACTCTGAAGACTCTGAAGGGCTGTAGCCAGTGGGAGCACAGCCCGAGGTTGGGCCCACCTGGATATGGCCCGCAGCACTGCCTTTAATTCCACCTACCCAGAAGGCCCAGGTTTCAGTGCACTGGACCTGGAGGCTGGGGCCGGAAGGCAAATGTCTGATGTTCCTTTAGTTCGAAAGCATCATGACCTTCCCTAAGGAAGAGAGGATTGCAGGTCAGGATCCCTGTAGAGGGCACCAGAGCCCTCCCCCAGGACCCTGTGGCTGCACCCACCGGAAGCAGCGGGCACAGTAGAGGTCTCCATCACAGCCTGAGCAGCGCAAGGTGGCATCCTCGTTGCATATGCAGCACCAGGGGAGTTCCTCGGTCCCAGCCTTGGGCGTGGGCGCCTTGGCCTGTGCCTTCAGGAGCCAGAGAGGAAGGATGCAGAAAGTACCATGCCCACTGTGGGAGTGGTCAGCCTGATATGGAGCAAGACTGCCTGGGGCTGGGGGGGCGGAGCTTTTCTTACCTTGGGCTTTGCCCTACAGACTCTGGCCTGGGGCTGAGGAACTGGCTGCACAGGGATGTTAAAGCCGCTTGCCTTGTCCAGGGCTGCTTCTTCAGTGAGCTGTGCATAGGGCAGGTATCAGCCCCTGCTCCAGGCCTAGGTTCTGCCTCCCCATAGCTCTGTGCTCTGTGCCCCAGCTCCTAGACTCTTCTTTGACCTATTGCCTGTGGCTTCTGAGTCCCATCTCAAGGGTCCAGGGCCCAAGGCTGGGTCAGAGGGACAGTGGAAACCCCCAGAGGGATAGGAGCCAGAGCAGCTGCCCACACAGCCCCAGAGTGGAGGCGGAGTGAACAGGGCCTAGCAGGCGCTGCAGGTAGGAGGCACCCAGGACAAGGGGTGGTTGCTGGCCGGGCCTGGCCCACCTGCTTCATGACTCTCTGGACAGCTGACTCCTCATCCTCATCGCTGTCTGGGAGGCGATAGTCCTGTAGGGTCACTGGGAATGGGAAGGGATGGTAAAGAAGGAATGTGAGGGCTGGGGGGGTCTACCTGAGTGGCTGCCCTCTTGTCTCCTGGGACCAGCTTGGGGCCCCGGGTCACCTGCTCCAGAGCTGATAAGTCTCCCCAGCCACTCTGATCAGCCCTTGTCCCTCCCCACCCTTAGCAGGCAGAGCTGCTTATGCGTTAATGCCTGGATGCACTGATGTCCCCACCCCTCCAGCTGCCACTGGTTCCTCCATCACTGTTTTGCCCCAACCTTGCTCCTCCAGTCAGCACATGAGTTGCCCAGCAGCGACTTAGTGCTGGCAGGAGAAGACTCTGACCCACAGTGATGCTCCAGCAGCTGACTCCAGTCTTTACCTTTCTCTGGGTCCTGTCCCTGCAGCTCAGCCAGCCGCTTGGCAAGGGCCAGGATCTGCTCCTGCCTCAAGTTCTCCTCCTGCAGCTCCAGTGCAGCCTCAGCCAGCAGTCTGCTCTTCTCCTCTTCCGGGGACAGGCTGGTCTGCCCTGGAAGAGGAATGCTCTGATTCCCTGGGCCACTCTTGTTCAGGTCATTTTGGAGGCAGGCAGCTGGAAGGAATAATGTTGTCAGGGAGGCTGAGGCATTCCAGATCTCTCTGCAGAAGCCAGTGGCCCCTTCTAAGCAGTTTCTAGCCAGAGATCACCTGCCTTTTGCACTAGTATCTATAGTTTGTATCCAAGTAAAATTAGTATTTCTTCCTCTATTCAACTGTGAAAAGATTAGTCATCTTAGATGTGTCTTTCTCAATCACTTCCACATCCATTCACCTGACAGTTTGACATGTTGCCCTTGGTGGGGGAGGATCTCTCTTTCCCTCTTTCTCTGTAATTGCCTTTCAAGTAAATAAGTCTGGACTGGTGGCAGTATGATCTCAGGTTGAGAACCACTGCTCTGAGGGCTTTAGGTAGCACCATGCACTAGAACATTCTATGATAACCGAGGAATCCTATTCTGCATTTTCTACCGACACAGCCATAACAGTAGCCAAGAGCTCACATGGCTGAGTGCTGGAAATGTGGCCGGTGCAACTCAAGAACCAAAGTTTATTTTTTCTTTAGTTTCAATAAAGTTAAAGAGCCTCTTCTCCCTCCTTACTGGTTCGTCATCATCACCTCAAAGAAATCTTGTTGAGTTAAGCTTCCCCAGGCCAAGTTGAGTGGGTCACAGAGCTGGCACATGGCTGTTCTGGGCAGCACAGTCTAACGGTGAAGCTCATGCCCTTCACCATCATCAGACTCACAAGTGAGCAAAGGACGAGGGGAAATAGGCCCCCGAGAGAGCTGCTGAGTGCAGGGGTTACCTGGGCCTCCTCGTTCCCAGCGCTCATCAATAGCCACTTCAGCTGCCAGCTGCGTTAGCAGGTCCTGTGTCTGCTGGGCCTGGGTCCTGGAGTCTGGTGCCTGATGTGCCTGTCCAGAGGAGGGAAGCCCGGTAAGGAGAGAGCCACAAAGAAGGCCAAGGGGCAGTCTGGGTCAGCCTGGACGCTTGAGGAGCTCTCCCAGTCCGGGGCAAGGGGATGAAGCCAGAGCACCACACAGGCTCAGAGTCTCGAGCAGGTGGGCTCCAGCGAGGCCCCCGTTAGGGGGTGGGTGGAGGTGGGGGATGGTGGAAGGACAGGTGGTTCTCTTGGTCCTGTTGCACCAAACCTGCAGCACTACCCTGAGGTTCTGAAGCAGGTAAAGGAGGGGGTACATGTATGTCTGGACTTCTGCTGGGTCCTTGTCCTAGGAACCCTCCCTCTCCAGGGCCAAACCACTCACGGGCTTTAGGGTCTGAGAAGGTGGAGCCCTGCCCTGCAGCAGAGCTAGCCGCGTCTCCATCTCCTGGGTGGAAGGGACTGGGCCCCGGGGCTCCTCCTTGAGTGCGGCCAGCCGTGCCTCTATCTCGGCCTGTGAGGGTACTGGCTCTGTAATAGGCAAGGGGGTCCCTGGTAAGACCCAGAGGAACCCCAGTCCCAGCAACCTCAGACTCTGTCCCTTACCTCCCCCTACCTCCACCTCACTCACTGGGCTTGTTCTCCTGGTGGAGCCGTGCCAGGCGCTCAGCGATGACCTGGTCTTGTTGGGTCAGGCCCTGACTCTGGGCAGTGCTGGGCTTCTGCTTGGCTTCCAGGGCTGCCACCCGCCTGGTGGGATAGGAGAGTCACAGAAGGCAGAAGGGAGGGGGTGAAAGCCCCCACCCCCAGTTTCTAGTTCTAGTAATTTCCAGTCATCTAGGGAGGCCTCTGACAGGCAGTCTCCTGTGGCCCTTGCTCGTATCACCCTGCAGCCCTGGCCAGCTAAGCATCCAGAAGGGCTAGCTGAGGGTGAATGCCAGAGCCTATGAAACTGTGTCATATAATGCAAGGTAATCAATAAAAAAAAAAAAAATGAGCTATTCTCTAAGCCCAAGAGAGTGGACAGCAGCAGGAGAGGGGTGTCTGTCCTCTTGGCCCTTTGTTTAGGGGATCCCACCCTTGGCCCCAGCCTTTTTCCCCTCTTGTCTTCTGCTGCAGCACTCACTTCTTGTAGTTTTGAGGTGGTGACCACTTGGAAGCACTGGCAGGAGAAGACCCACTAAGGAGAAGAAATTAAGAGTCAGACATCCTACCACCCTGACTGGCTGGTGTTTGCTGCCCTTGATTGCTCCCCAGGCTGACCCCTGGGCACCGAGCCCAAGCCTATGTGGGCCTGCCTGAAGCCTACTACTGTGCCCCGCCATGCCTGGTTGACTCTGCCCAGGCGGGCCTCCCTCCTACCTGGTCAGGGCCTCGTAGCATGGCTTGCAGACTTTCTGTTGAGTGTTGCCAGCGCGTGGCACCACTGCGCTGAAGCGAAGGCAGCTTGAACAAAAGGCCCGGCCACAGCTCTTACAGCCGCACTGTAAGACACACGGAGCAGGGGGTTCTCTTCCCACCTGCACCCTGCAGGCTCCTCCTGGGGCCTCTCCAAGCACACAGACAAGAGGAGACCCTGAAGGTGTGACAGGCTGCTGGGTAGGGGGAAGAGGGGTGGGGCCCCAAAGGTATAGGGAACGGGGGTGGAGGGTTAGTCCTGCCTTAGTGTCTAGTCTTATTCCAATCAAACCTGCCAAATGCCCGTGCTGCCTACTGTCTGAAGTTCCCCAACATGGTGCACAAAGCTGTTGGCTCCAGGTCCTAGGACTTATCCACCAAGTAAAACCAAAGATGCTTCCGCCTTCTCTGCTCCCGATGGAGACCTGGCTGAGGATGCCAGGCTAACCACACTGTGAGCCAGGCACTAGGCTGAACACTTAGCGTGCACTTTCAGCTTAAATCCTTGCTCTGCACACACAATATCTGACTTCATTCCACTGGCCACCATTATCATCATCACTATTTTAAAAGGGGGTGGAGAGGAAGTATCACCCCTAACTGACTCAAATTTCAACCTGGACTCCAAAACCCAGGTGTCTAAGCGCTGGTCCTGCTTCCCATTCATGCATGCCATCTCTCCATCACCTCCTGATGATTCATGGCAGTCCCAGCTACAACTAACGCAAGGAAGCGGGTGGGAAGGCGCTTAGCAGGTGAGTGCTGACACAGGATGAGCCTATGCCGTTGTACCCTGGGGATGGGAGGCAGTGTGGTAATTTCACTCTGGAGTCCTGGGGAGGGTCAGGCTGCAGGGTGAGAGTAACAGGCAATGGTGTGATGGACAAGGCCACCGGACACTCTTTGCGAGCCGGTTGAAGACTGGCTGCGAGGAGCAAGATGGGAAGGAGACAGCCAGACAGAAAGGCACCACTTTGCTAGCACGGCAGCAGCTAATTCTGCTGCTTCTAGAAGTAGGCGCTACTTCTACCCACAGCGCCCCAATGGACGGACCCTCACGCCAGCCCCCAAAGCAAGGAAACGGTCGCCCCACTTGGCGAAAATGGAAACAGGTTCAATGATGTCATCAAAGCTGCACAGCTGGAAAGAGGCCTCAAAACCACGTCTTCCGACGGCCAGTCCCTTGCTACTCCCCTCCACTCCGCGTCCTCCCTGGCCCTTTAGACTTCGGGGAGAGGACTCGCCTCCTTCTTGAAGAGGGTGAACTTGGCCGCGCAGCCGTAGCACCTGCTTTCCATCGCGGCTCCTGGCGCGTCACGATCCGCAGAACTGGAGTTCCACCCACCCAGCCCAGGAACCCCCGGACCCTCACTCAGAGACACCTAGTCACACACGCCCCCTTAAAGCGATAGGGATGTGGTCCGGGGCCGAGATTCGGGACGCCCGCTCCACCAACAAGCCAAGCTGTGGCTGAGGCAGCGGCGACAGCGGGGGCTGCTGGGAAGGGTAGTCCATTCCTAACCCACACCAGAGCCACATAAGCCGGACCTGGCATACAATTCCCAGAAGGCCAAGCGCCATCCGGCAGGCCTTGCGCACGCGTCGACTCCTACAAGTCAAGTTAGGGCTGGAACTATGGCGGTCACCAAGGAGCTGTTACAGATGGACCTGTACGCGCTACTAGGCATTGAGGAGAAGGCTGCGGACAAAGAGGTGAGGACGGTGGAGAACAGGGTCTATCCTGTGCCTTGCTCTCCAGGTTCCGCCGGGCCCTGGGCGTAGGGAGCGAGCGGCGGCCCGCGGCTTCGCAAGGTGGCCCCCTAGTCCTTTTCTGGACGCTCTGAGAATCTCACGAGGAAGGGGGAGGAGCACAGAGGTCTCTTCGCTACTAGTGTCGGTGTTCTGGTGGCTCCGGTGTGGGGGAGGCTGCCTGGTGAGCCGGACAGGAAGCCCGAGCGTGCGCTCTGCGCCTGCGCAGCCGCTTGGCTTGGCTTGACTGTCGCCGGTGGCGCTTTGCCACCTAGGGTGGAAGACAGGTCAGCTCCCAGGTTCCTGCACTCCCACTTCATCCCTTCTTGGCGGTGTTGCCTTGGACCCCGCTGTCTAACCCACTGACGAGTTCAAGGAAGTAGGTAGCCAAGTACTGGCCCTCGCACCATGGGCCGAGAACCCAAGAATCCCAAGCAAAAGGCGGGTGGCCTGGAGTTCCGCCTACCTCAGGAGCTGATGGAGGTGCTAGGGTGTGAAGCCTTGGGGAAGCTGGGCCTAAGGTTTCTGGTTATGGCGCCCAGATTATGGTAGTAGACGGAATGGTGTAGGAAGGAGAGGAGGATAATTCGTTGGATGCAAATGAATGCCCACAAGTGCACCTGTCTTTCTAGACTGCTCTGCTCAGAGGCTGAATGAGAAGAGAAGGGTCTGGGGCAGAAAAGCCAGGAGTCGGGCATCCCTGAGAAGACATGTTGTCCCCTACACAAACTGCTGTCGCTGAGAGGTGTTTTATGGAGACCAAAGGCTCCACCTTTTAGAATGCTTAATATTTCAGTAGATTTGTTGTGACTAGCAACTATGTAGTGCTTACCCTGTGCTGGGCAACATTCCAAGTATTCTTTCCCTGTAGGTTGTTCAACTAGAGTTTTATGACTAGTGAGAAAGAATTTGGGACGATTCATACAAGATCCAGTCTTGGGGAAATGTGGAATCCTGAAGTTGGGAACCACTGATGTATATTAGGATATTGAATCAGAGGTGACATCATAGGATTTTTCGAGAGAATTGTCCACATCTGATATGTATAACTTTGTCTTAATTCCTACTTTAAATCCTTTAAGATATAGAGAATGAGATTTTTTAAGAAAAGATTTGTTTATCTTTCTTGCAAAGTCAGATATACAGAGAGGAAGATCTTCCCTCTGTTGATTCACTCCCCAAGACCTGCAATGGCCGAGAGCCTAGCTGATCTAAAGCCAGGAGCTTCTTGTAGGTCTCCCACGCTGGTGCAGGGGACTTTGAGCCATCCTCAGCTGCTTTCTCAGGCCACAAGTAGGGAGCTGCATGGGAAGCAGAACTGCCGGAATTAGAACCGGAGCCCATGTGGGATCTCGGTGTGTTCAAGGCAAGGGCTTTAGTCACTAGGCCACTGTGCTGGGCCAAGAATGAGATCTTATGTTGTTGATTTTTTTTTTTAAAGATTTATTTTTATTATATTGGAAAGGCAGATATACAGAGAGGAGAGACAGAGAGGAAGATCTTCCATCCGATGATTCACTCCCCAAGTGAGCGCAATGACCGATGCTATTCCGATCCAAAGCCAGGAGCCTCTTCCGGGTCTCCCACACAGGTGCAGGGTCCCAAAGCCTTGGGCCGGCCTCGATTGCTCTCCCGGGCCACAGGCAGGGAGCTGGAAGGGAAGCGGGGCTGCTGGGGCACCCATATGGGATCCCAGGCGTGCAAGGCGAGGACCTTAACCATTTGTGCCACCACGCCGGGCCCTGTTGTTGATTTTTTTAAAAAGATTTATTTATTTTTTATTGCAAAGTCAGATATATATACAGAGAGGAGGAAAGACAGGGAGAAATATCTTCCGTCCGATGATTCACTCCCCAAGGAACTGCAACAGCCGGTGCTGTGCTGATCTGAAGCCAGGAACCAGGAACCTCCTCCAGGTTTCCCACGTGGGTGCAGTGTCCCAAGGCTTTGGGCCATCCTTGACTGCCCTCCCAGGGCACAAGAGGAGCTGCCGGGATTAGAACCGGCGCCCATATGGGATCCCGGGGCGTTCAAGGGGAGGACTTTAGCCACTAGGCCACGCCGCTGGGCCCTATTTCGATTTTTTAAAAAGATTTATTTATTTATTTTTTAAGATTTATTTTTATTATTTTTTTATTGGAAAGATGGATATACAGAGAGGGGAGACAGAGAGGAAGATCTTCTATCCGATGATTCACTCCCCAAGTGAGCGCAATGGGCCGATACTATGCCTATCCGAAGCCAGGAGCCTCTTCCAGGTCTCCCATGCGGGTGCAGGGTCCCAAAGCTTTGGGCCATCCTCAACTGCTTTCCCAGATCACAGGCAGGGAGCTGGAAGGGAAGCGGGGCTGCCGGGATAAAACCAGCGCCCATATGGGATCCTGGGTGTGCAAGGTGAGGACCTTAACCACTACGCCACCTCGCCGGGCCCTAAAGATTTATTTTTATTGCAAAGTCAGATGTACAGAGAAGAGGAGAGATAAAGAGCAAGATCTTCCGTCCGATGATTTACTCCCCAAGTGACTGCATTGGCCAGTGCTGCGCCAATCCGAAGCCTGGAACCAGGAACTTCCTCTAGGTCTCCCACACGGGTGCAGGGTCCCAAGGCTTTGGGCTGTCCTTGACTGCTTTCCCAGGCCACAAGCAGGGAGCTGGATGGGAAGTGGTGCTGCCGGGATTAGAACCAGCACCCATATGGGATTCAGGTGCGTTCAAGGCGAGGACTTTAATTGCTGTGTTATTGTGCTGGACCCTCATTCAGCTTTTATACATGTCAGTGGGCATTGAAGCCTAGTTCAATCCAACCAGCTCCCCTCTCCAGCCCACTCACATGCTGATGGGTGCTGTTCTGCCTAGCCACCCCTGTCCAAGTCCTGGTTTTCTTGCTCTACAGTGGGAGCGGTAACCCAAGAGGGAGGTGCCCACTGTTTCCCTCCTGGGCCCACTCCCACTCCTGGATCATGCATTCTCCAGGTGGTTCTGCAATTTAACTTGATAGAATTAGCCCCCTGTGCCAGCATCTGCCAGCTGATGTTGCGGCAAAGCCTAATCAACCGTCACCCACTCTGATTTATGCTTGCACCAGTAGGAATAGTCAGCCCAGCCTGGCTCTTTCCTGATCTGGCTCACATGAGATCCACTGGTGACTTTATCTCCCCATGGTTCTCACATGAGCTAATTGGATGCTTTGGCTCAGTCTGGCCTGGCCCACCTTGCCTCGGCATTTGCCAGGGATACTCTAGCCTAGCTCAGCCCAGCCGACACCCAGTCCAAGCGTAATGTGTACTGGTATGTGTTGTGACTGAACCTGACCCAACCCACTCTGTTCTGGTACTCAGATTATCGGTGGGTGATGTGAACTGGTTCAGTCTGGTCCGCCCCCAACCTGTGCCAAATGTATGCCGGTGGGTACCTTTCCCTGGCTTGGTCTGGACTTCTCCCTTTCTTGGTTCTTGCACTCACTTGCAGGTACTGTGTCCTGACAGAGGAGCTGCTCCATTAGAAGCTCTCCCAGTGTCACATCTTGCACACACTGGTGGGTCCATGGGCCAGCTCTACGTTGTCCACCTCCTGTCCTGGCAGGAGCTGGCAGGTCCTGACTGGCCTTCAGCCAATTCCAGTTCTACTGTTGGACATTTCAGTCCAGCCAAGGCTGGTCCACAGTTCACACATGGCCACCCAGGCACAGCTCACACATGGCTCAGTAGGGGTAGAGACCTAGCCTAGGGCCCAGCAGCGTGGCCTAGCGGCTAAAGTCCTCACCTTGAACGCCCCAGGATCCCATATGGGTGTCGGTTCTAATCCCGGCAGCTCCGCTTCCCATCCAGCTCCCTGCTTGTGGCCTGGGAAAGCAGTTGAGGCCGGCCCAAAGCTTTGGGACCCTGCACCTGTGTGGGAGACCTGGAAGAAGTTTCTGGATCCTGGCTTTGGATCGGCATAGCATTGGCCATTGCACTCACTTGGGGAGTGAATCATCGGACGGAAGATCTTTCTCTCTGTCTCTCCTCCTCTCTGTATATCTGACTTTCCAATAAATAAGTAAATCTTAAAAAAAAAAAAAAAGAGACCTAGCCTAGTCCGTCCTACATCTACCCTGGCGTTCCAGAGCACCAGTTGGTGCTGGAGTCTAATCCAATATGGTGCTCCCAGCTTCAGTCCACACTTGTACCAAGGGAGACTACAGCCATATCCAGATCAAAACGCAGTTCCCACTCCAGCCCCCGCCCTCACCAGTGGGAGCCCCAACCCAGCCAGGTGTCCCCTTACCTCCCCAACCAGGCCATAGATTGCGTGCATGCCAGTGGTTGCTCTGATCCAGCTTGGCATAGCCCCTCAACTGTCTTGGCCTTGGCCTCAGATGCTGTAGCCTTGCATCTCTGGCTCATGCAAACCAGTAGATGTAAGAGCCTAGTTCAGCATGACCTGTGCTCCAGCCCAATTTCCTGCTGTTCTTACTGTTGAATTCTTACTGTTGATCTATGGTTTGTTCGGCCCTTCCCACTCTGCCTCTTTCCATAACCAACTCCTACGTTGGCCAACAGTTGAAGCTACTTTATCCAGTTTGCCCGGCCCACAGGCCTGGGCCATGTGATCATCAGTGAGAGTTCACTTTTTTTTAATTAATTAATTTATTTGAAAGCCAAAGTGACAAAGATGGAGAGACATCAGAGAAAAAGATCCTCCACCTGCTAGTTTATTCCTTAAATGTGTGCAATGGCTGGGGCTAGCCAGGCTAAAGTTAGGACTCTGGAGCTCCATTCAGGTCTTTGTGAGTGGCAGGGGCCCAGGCACCTGGGCCATCATCTGCTGCTGTGACATCCATTGGCCAGACAGTGGATGGCCAGTGGAGCAGCTGGGGTTCCAACCAACTCTCCCCAGGCCTGTCATTTTGAAATGCAGAGGCTAACATTGATAATCCTGCTGGGAGTTCACACTTCTCTAATCAGCTGTGATTTTTTTTTTCC